CGTTCTGGAGCGAACCGACTCTCTCGCTCGGGACATGGCCTACGGTCTAATTGGAGCTACCGCGATTGTCTTCGTTGGGGTTGCTGTGAGTCTCTCAAATAGGGCCGGGCATTCGGCGTATCTCGTGAAGCGAATGGTTCGTTAATCCAGCTCACCAGGTGTTCACCGCGAGCTACCAGCATCTAGGGTACCGCGCTACAACTATGCTACGAGGTGGCCTCATGGCTTTGACTTATGAACACATGATGAATCTTCCACTGGGAACCACAGACGAATCCAGTGCCATGTCACTTATGGGGACCGACATCGAGATGCTTGCCGAATACTTCCTCTCTACAGTATGCGAGACATGGGCTAATGTCCTACAGCTGGGCCTGGCCACTTGGCTCCTGCAAACCCAAGTAGGTGTTGTCTGTATCGCTCCTTTCGTCGTGGTAATACGTAAGCCTTTCCATCCGAATCACATGTGTTTCGTCCAGAATATGACTGATCGTTCGCAATAGTCTTCACGGCAGCGTCTTTCGGCATGGGAAATGCTGTCACTGCCAGGCAAAAGACATGGCTGCAGGCTACAGAGAAGCGCGTGAACTTTACCTCCGTTATTCTAGGATCTATCCGGAACGCGAAGTTCCTTGGTTTATCCGAGATTATGGGAACCATGATTGATGCTTTGCGTGAGGAAGAACTCACTATCTCGAAGAGATTCCGCCGGATTCAGACAATCCGTGTATGCATGGGTATGTATCTTCTCAGAGCGCTATAACTAAAACTGACGCAAAATGACCCAGTAAACCTTCCATCGATAGTCGGTCAACTTGCAACATTTGCAGCGTATGGTATAGTAGCTGCAGTAAATGGATCCGGGGGATTCCACGTCTCGCAAGCCATCACATCACTTTCGTTGGTTAACTTACTGGTCAATCCGCTCCAGCAACTTCTGCTGGCGATCCCGGATACATTTGCATCGATCGGATGTTTGCATAGAATACAGGACTTCCTCAGGCAACCGAGTCGCGTTGGTGAGTGTTCTTGACGTTCTCCGTTCAATTCCCAAGGTTAAATCCAAAGCTTATGTGCTTTTCACAGAGAAGAGGAAGTTAGCTCGGCTGCTATCAAGTCCAGCAACTTCGTCCCGAAGTCGATCTGGTATTGAGCTCTCTGCTCTCTCTTCCCCCATCACTGGCTCTCTTTCAAAGCAGGCCACGATGCATATTTCCCTGGAAAATGTCCGTTTTGGATGGAAGTCCTCACCACTGGACAAATCTGGCGTTACCCTGATCCTCGAGCAATCTGACAGAGGAAATCTCGTCACGATTGTCGGTCCCGTCGGTAGTGGGAAGTCCACCTTTTTGAAAGGCCTTGCCGGTGAGACGCCTGTACTGGATGGAAAGCTCGTTATCAGCCATCCGGACATAGCATTCTGCGAGCAGATGCCATGGCTTGCCAATGCATCAATTCGGGATAACATTGTGGGCGACAGCGGATCATCGTCGTTTGACGAAAGATGGTATCACACAATCTTGAAAGCATGTGCGCTCAACCTGGATATTGAGAGAATGCCAGCAGAAGACCGGACGCTTGTAGGCAGCAAGGGGGCGAAACTGAGCGGAGGGCAAAGGCAAAGAATTGTTCGTTATTAAACTGCCTGATAAGGACTCGGACATAAGCCCATTACTAACATCGACAGGCCATCGCACGAGCTCTCTATTCTCGCAAACGCATCGCTTGTTTCGATGACGTTTTCAGTGGTCTTGACAATGTGACTTCCCAGCAGGTGTTCACTAATGTCTTTGGTCCGGACGGTCTGCTACGTCAGCTGGGCTGTACCGTTTTCCTGGCTACCCACAACAGTAAGATTCTTCGTCGAATGACGCCCTTAAAATTTCCAAATGTGGAGTGTCTGCTGATTTGAATACAGCTCAGCACCTACCGCAATCCGATTTTATCATTGTGCTGGGCAATGATGGTGAAGTTCTTGAGCAGGGCACTTATTCCCAGCTTCGAAGTCACATGGGAGGTTACATTAACAAGCTTGATCTGAGCACAGGGCAGCTAAGTGACCTAGGAGCGGCTTATACTGTTCAATCACAGTCTGAACTCACGACGACCACTGCAGACACTGGAAACGCCTCGGATTCCTTTGATGGCGATCGACAGACAACCGACACTTCTGTGTACAAGTACTACTTCTCTAGTCTGGGTTGGCTGAGAGTAGCCACCTTTGTGTTTTTGTTGACTGTCAATTCAGCCGTTGGCGGATTCCTCTGTGAGTCCTCCCCTCTCTTTCTTACGATATTCTAGCTGTCATAAAACGCTCACGTCTGAGTAGACATTTGGGTGGAACGTTGGTCGAGTAGCAACGACAGTGCCTCAGGCTCGCGTTCAGGATACTGGCTGGGAATATATGCGGCATTGGCCGCGGTCGAAGCAGGCTCCCTTGCGCTTGCTATATTGTGTGTTCAACCCTCCTTCGTCTCTATATTGTGTGCTGACAGTAGATGCAACTGTTCAGCTGGACATGGGTCATTATTGTCCCAGCTGCTTCGAAACACCTTCATTCCACTGTGCTCCGCGCTTGCATGAGGTGAGTTATGATTTCATACATTGGGCGAGACTACTGTGACTGAGAACTAACCCCTTCAAGTGCTCCCTTATCTTACTTATCAAATGTCGAAACTGGAGCTCTTGTAACTCGCTTCAGCCAAGACATGCGTCTGGTAGACATGATTCTGCCCCGTGGGTTCATCTCTTTAGGATTCCGTAAGTATACAATTCATGAACAAGATGAAGCGACTTTTATATTGACATTTTTGAACTCAGAGCTCTTCAGTGCCCTCGCTCAAGGCGCCATTACCATCGCTTCCTTGCCTTATATCGCTGCGGCTCTGCCATTCCTCATCGCGCTGCTGGGCCTGCTTCAACGATTCTATCTTCGCACTTCTCGCCAACTGAGATTGTTAGAGTGAGTCTCAGCTGTTCCGTCTTCATTTTCCTTCCTGAAGCATTGGCTTCCTGGATGCCTTGATTCCGTCGTGCTGAGTCACTCTAGAATCGAGCTCAAGAGCCCCTTATACACTCACTTCCTCGAGTCTCTTTCTGGAGTGACCACCATCCGCGCCTTCTCATGGACGCCCGTGGCCGTGTCTAGGATGCTTGCTATGCTTGACACCGCCCAAAAACCTTATTATCTTCTCCTGTGCATACAACGCTGGCTCTCACTGGTGCTGAATCTTATAGTAGCTGCTCTAACAGTCATCATGGTCGGAATAGCCGTCGGCGTTCGTGATCATGTCAATCCAGGTCTGCTAGGTATTGCTCTCGTGTTGATGGTCGAGCTAGGCCGAGTTCTATCGGAAGTGATCCAGAATTGGACGCTGCTCGAAACATCGCTGGGTGCGATTGCTCGGATCAAGTCGTTTTCCGAAGACACCCCCACTGAAGAAGACCCGACTCTTGAGGCCCATGAGCCACCTGTGGGTTGGCCCAGCTGTGGTCAAATTGTGTTTGCTGATACGAGCATTGCGTATGACACCTCCGAGTCAGCAGCCGCTGTGCTGAGCGACATCCGCCTTCAATTCCGTGGTGGGGAGAAGATTGGGCTATGTGGTAGGACTGGAAGGTCAGTTGCAGTGTTTCCGAGCATCATCTCGAATTCATTCAGACGTTAGCTGACCGCGAATCACTACACTCCAGCGGCAAAAGCAGCCTTGCACTTTCTCTACTTCGCCTCAACGAGGTTGTGTCTGGCCAAATTCTGATTGACGGACAAGACATCTCCCTCATCTCCCGATCTTCGATACGCCATCGCATCAGCAGTCTCAGCCAAGAGCCCTTCCTATTTCCAGGGACCATCCGGCAGAATGCGGACCCGTTGAACGCTGCTACGGACGCGGACATTGTTGATGCTTTGCGCTCTGTTGGAGTGTGGAATGCACTGGCGGCGCATCACAAAAGCTACAGCCATGACGAAGAGGTTCTTGGAGTCAAACTAGACGACAGCATCTTGTCAGAAGGCCAGAAGCAGCTGTTCTGTCTGGCACGAGCTCTGTTAAGGAAGAGCAAGATTCTGATCCTCGATGAACCGACGAGCAGGTATATTCCTTGTTGACTCATCTCTGTCGTTCGGCTTTCTCAAACGCTGACCCACATCTTGCATGCAGTTTGGACAAGGAGGCAGATGCTCGAGTGCAGAAGCTCATCCGCGAGTTGTTTCAAGATTGCACGGTGATCATGGTCGCTCATCGGATTCATACTCTACTCGACTTTGACCAGGTCGTGGTGTTGGACAGCGGACGGGTTGTCGAAGTGGGACATCCACGCGGACTAGCCCGCAGACCTGATGGGGCTTTCGCTAAACTGTTAGCTTTTGAGGTCTGAAGTCGACTGCTTCGATGGGTTGACGACCTCCGAGCAAGTGACTAGGCAGGTAGATTTGCGCGTCTTCAGATTAAGGGACTATGTATAAAGATTATCGGAGAGATTCTAAGAACTTTCACGTGTAATTCCATCATGAATAGGTAGGTCCCAGTGCCAACTGCTGCATACTATATCAAGTAAAGAGAGAGTGCGTTGCCCGGCCAGTGTCCAGACTCCACGGATAACCAGTCCCATGGTTCTTGTTGATAAGCCCCTCCTTGCCTGAGCGGGACTAGCGCCAAAGTCAGCCATCAGCCATCAGCTCCCCCAAGAATGAGCTCATCCCCCACCAATGACTGTGTTCTGCCCCAGAAGCGGTGGCAGATTGCGTGATCGAAGGGGGTTCCAGTGAGGTCGGTTCCCTCCAGTTCCAACATGGAGGGGCAGTCACCACTCTAGCACTGAGGGGGAAACGAGAGAGTGTCCGAATTCGGGGATGTTGTCCACGGCACCCGCAACTATTTAGCCTCTCTTTCATCCTTCTTCCCCCCTCTGTTCCCCTCGTACCTACCTTCTCACCACTCCCATCCGCATCCTCTCTCCCTCCATAAATCCTTACCTTCTACTGTACCATACCATTCACAATGGCTCAGGATCGTGCTCCTCCGTAAGTTGACCCAACGCTTACCTCAACTGTTCACAAGCTCGAGGTTGGTTTGTATAGATCACGGCAATTCTGACCGGCTCTTCTCAAATAGTCTCCGTCTCGGCTCTGAGGCCCCTAACTTCGAGGCTGACTCCTCCAACGGCCCCATCACCTTCCACGACTTCATCGGCGACAGCTGGACTGTCCTCTTCTCCCACCCCGTGAGTGATCGGAGTTCGAACTATATTGCTAGGACACCCGTGACTAACCAACGCGGCCGTTGGAATAGGATGACTTCACCCCCATCTGTACCACCGAGCTTGGTGCCTTTGCTAAGCTCGAGCCCGAGTTCACTGCTCGCGGTGTCAAGCTGATCGGTCTGAGTGCCAACGGCACCGAGTCCCACCACGCCTGGATCAAGGACATCGACGAGGTCACCGGCTCCAACCTCAAGTTCCCCATCATCTCCGACCCCGAGCGCAAGGTCGCCTACCTGTACGACATGGTCGACTACCAGGACACCACCAATGTCGACTCCAAGGGTATGTATCTGGTTCTTCTGGGTTTCATTCTGGCTGCACATCCGCTAACGGAACCCCAGGCATGGCTCTCACCATCCGCTCCGTCTTCATCATCGACCCCAAGAAGAAGATCCGTCTCATCATGACCTACCCCGCTTCCACCGGCCGTAACACTGCCGAGGTCCTCCGTGTCATCGATGCTCTCCAGACCACTGACAAGCACGGCGTCACCTGCCCCATCAACTGGACTCCTGGCGATGACGTTGTCATCCCTCCCCCCGTCTCCACCGAGGAGGCCCAGAAGAAGTTCGGCGACATCCGCATTGTCAAGCCGTGAGTACCCTTTGATCCCCGGCTTGTCACTTCTTGATTTTACTAACTTGGGACCAAAGTTACCTTCGTTTCACCAACCTGAAGCAGTAAATCAAAAATGTCTACGTCAGCCAAAGATAGGCAGGAAACTTGCAGTGATGCAGTCCGACTACAGGACTGGTGCTGAGAAAAGGAAGACAGATCTGATACGAAAGTTATGAAAAAATATGAGATAATATTTTATACCCGATGATTCCAGCCGAGGTAGCAAGAAGTAGTTCGAGCCGGCTGCAGGCAGTTGATCTCGATGTATGCAGGAACCCAGCTTGACCAGTAGTATCTGCTGAAGTCTGTGGTGTTCCTGCAGGCTGTACAGTAGGTTCCTGGGACGAGCTGCCAGTCCCCGCTCACAGTCGGAAGGGAGGATTGGAGCCATGGTTGGCCGTCTGGGTCCCTCCGGGTGGCGATAACAGCATCAGATCGTTGCTGTGTCATCCTGCATAGCTCACTTCACCTTGTATGGGGGGAGAGTGCCTTATTTCTGGAATTAAGAAGCTGTGGACTATCCATCAAATGTTGCCATTCTCTCGAGGCTCCATCTATGTGAAATGGGGCCAGTGGTTCGTATCATTGAGGAATGTTTGAGTAACCACTGCATCGGCTGCCAACCGCTGAGCTGAGCCGCATTGGAGGACAAGGTGGCTGCGTGGTAGTGGACTGGTTGTTAGTATGTGTTGGAGGGTGTGGGAATTCGAGGACCCATCCATGCGAACTGTGTAGATGACATTTGTGATGCTGATGAGATGAAACTACTACACAACCAAGTAGTTATATAGTAAAAGAGCAATTGACTTTACATGTGGAAGGTCTCTTGGGTGCCTGGACCGTAGTTTGGGGGACAGACAGACCGCCTTCCTTCCTGGAGTCAATCCTTCTCCTTTTCCTTTTCCTTCTCCTTTCCCTTTTTTTCCCCACCCGCCTTTTTTACTCAGAGGGTCGCTTCTCGCACTCTCAATCCCTCTTATTCTTCGTTTTTGTGCTGAGACGGTTGTGTTGACTATCGCAGCATTGGTTATACCTTCACAAATATTGTCTATCTCATTGATAAGGAAACGACTGAATTATCTGGTGCCGTTCTCCTCCGCAGCGGGGATAAGTAGTCACCGATAACTTACCGATCGATTTCGACTTTCCGCCCGCCTGTCCCCTCCACCGCCCCCCTGATCATCCCTCCTCCGGTCGCACTGCCCCCCCAGTCCCATTTAGACGTCGAAGATCACCCGACCGCTTTCCCACCAACGTTGCTGTCAAAATCTCTTTCTAGGTCTGTGCTGCTGTAGCACGCAAGGGTGGCGTCTAACCCTCTTTTACAACTGTGATGATCCTCGATCGCCTCGGCCTTTTCCCTTCCTCTCGTTCAACGCCATATCCCCGGAAAAGCAATTCCTGACTCTGGGTAGCGCAAGCGGGCGGCACTTTCTCCTACGATACGCGCAAAGACTTACGATAGCGAAAAGTTTCACCGAGTGGTCTCCTCGATTATAAGGCGCTCACTCATCATCTTTCCTGCGGGTTGAAGGTAAACAGACCTCGGAAATACCCTCATTATGATGTCCCGAAGCCAGTCGAGCCTGGGCTTCTTGGATACAGGCAGAGACGACCCATCTGCGACGGGGATCTCGCCTCGACTTCAGCAAGCCCAACAGCAGTCGCAATCCTCCAACTCCGGTCCGATCAACCTGTCAGGCCTGGTATGCAATGTCCGTCGGACCACCGGCCGAGAGCCGCACCCTCTCGTGGGCGCAACGACAACCATCTTAGGCGATAGGCTATACGTGTTCGGAGGCCGGGTGCTCTCTAAGAGTCGTCCGCAGTTGACGTCGGACATATACGAGCTGGACTTGATCCGGCGTCACTGGACCAAGATCGAGGCGACCGGCGATATTCCCCGCCCGCGGTATTTTCACAGTGTTTGTGCCTTGGGAGACCATAAACTCGTGTGCTATGGCGGTATGTCGCCTGCCCTAAACGTGTCCAAGGACCCTGCTGCCGCGAGCGGGGGAGCGGGGGGTCAGGACGCTCAACCGGAAGTCGTGGTCATGTCAGACATCCACATCTTTGACGTGCCCACTCGGACTTGGACCCGCGTGCCAGCCATCGATTCCCCCCAAGGTCGCTATGCGCACTGTGCGACAATTCTGCCCTCCAGCGCCCATTTTACCTCAGCCACCGCACCTCTTTCGGCTATACACCATAACCCGGCGTCTTCGAACCCGCACCAGGGCACGATCGGAGTGGATATTGATGGGTTTGGGGGTGCCGAGATGGTCGTGGTCGGAGGACAAGATAGCTCCAATCATTACATCGAGCAGATCAGTGTCTTCAACCTGCGGAGTTTGAAGTGGATGAGCACCAGCACGCTTGGCCGCAGCTGTGGTGCCTACCGCAGCGTGGTTGCTCCCCTACTGGGTATGAGTGTCTCCGAGATTGGCTCTGCGGCGGAGGATCGGGATGCACAGGAGCCCATTGAGGACTCCCAGGTCGAGGGTTGCCCAATGCTTATCTACTCTAATTACAACTTCTTGGATGTCAAGTTGGAGCTTCAAGTACGCTTGCCTGACGGTCGCTTGGTCGAGAAACCCATGCAAAATCAGGCCTCGCCCCCGGGGTTGAGGTTCCCCAATGGAGGCGTCATCAACGGTCATTTCGTTGTCAGTGGTACCTATTTGACTTCCTCGAAGCAGGAATATGCTCTTTGGGCACTGGACTTGAAGACTCTCACTTGGGGTCGAATCGATGCTGGCGGCTCGGTCTTCGGTCAGGGTAGTTGGAACCGCGGAGTTCTATGGTCGAGAAGAAATACCTTTGTTATTTTGGGCCACCGAAAACGCAGCTTGGTGGAAGATTATAACCACCGGCGTATCAACTTTTCACACGTGTGCATGGTAGAATTGGAGGCTTTTGGTCTCTACAACAATGCGTGCCGGACTGCACCCACCTCGGGCTATGTCTCCTACAGTGCGCCATCTGTCCCGGCTTCTCTCCAGTCGAAGCTTACCAAACTGACCTCTGGTGGACGACCGTTCTCTGCGGCCTCGGACGAACTAGGTCGTCTCGCCCACTCGCTACCTGAAATGGCCGACATGGAGCTCCAAGCCGTGGGAGGGGAACGCATCCCCGTCAACTCGCGCATCCTGACACGCAGATGGGGTCCCTACTTTATTCAACTACTCCGCGACTCCTGTGATGGGGGAGTCTCTGACTCTGCTACTCTTCGTCCTGCGGTTGCCATGTATCCCAGCCGCAACTCAAGTATTACCATCACCCCCTCGATCGGCCAGAACAGCAACTATTCCAACGCCAGCACGCTTGTCAGTAACCGCTCCGTCACCTCTAAATCATTACTAGCAAACCTCGAGATACCCTCTGCGCATTCTCTATCGCCTACCGCTCGTCCCCGTGTACTCTACCTACCTCACACCTACCTCACCCTCCAGGTCCTTGTCTACTATTTCTACACGTCCTCCCTGCCCGCTGTGGGCTCCTCTCTCTGCACCCCCCAGATTCTCTGCTCCCTCCTCCAACTTGCCCGCCCTTATCAGGTCGACGGCCTCCTTGAAGCCACGGTCGAACGCCTCCACCAAATGCTCGACGGTCGCAATGCTGCGGCTGTCTTTAACGCGGCCGCCATGGCCGCGGGAGGAGGCCGTGGGACAGGGTTCGCCAGCGGGCTTGGTGGCACTTTGGAAACCCTGAACGGCGCTCACGCGGCCGCCACCGCTGCCGCGCAAGACCCCTCAGCGCTGACCACCACGACCACCAACACGACCGCCACCACGCAACCCTCCTCAGCGGCCCAAAGCCACCTCACCTCCGACTCGTCCGACACGGAACACGGCACCACCGCGTCGGCCGCCCTCTCGACGGCTAGCAGCGTCAGCGGCGTCGGGGCCTCCTCCACCTCGCGCGGTATCCCCCTCCGCATCAACACCAACATCTTCAGCCGCCGCCAGCGCCACAGCGACCGCGAGCGCGCGCGTGAGCGCGAACGCGAGCGGGAACGCGAAAGGGAGGTGGAGCTCGAGCGCGAACGGGACCGCGAGGACTCCATCAGCAACGCCAGCACCGCCACCTCGGCCTCGGCCTCGACGAACACCAGCTTCGACCAGTCCGACTCGGAGTACGGCGGCGGCGGCGAATCCGCCGGCCGCGCCCGCTCCTCGTCGCATCACCGCCGCAACACAGACGCCGAGCTCCGGCCCGAGCGCGAGATCTGGACCGGCGACCTCAGCAGCGTCATCGGCCTGCAGAAGCGGGGTCTCCGCGGGCTGATGGAGGGCCGCCGGCTGCGGGAGCGCACGGCCAATCCCACGCCCAACGGCGGCAGTAACGGGGTGAAACCGGGTAGTGCGGCGGTGAGCTTGAATGGCAATGGGAATGGAGTGGAGTAGTAGTGGGCCTGCAGCTTTTGGGGGTGTACGGTTTCCTACCTGTCTGAAGATCTTCAGTCTGAGAAAGCCTGAGCGCGAGACAGGGAGAAAGTGTGTGCGATTTCCATATTCGAGTATATATTATATCTAACTTCACTTGGATGGGATATTTTATTTTGGGGGGGGCAGGAAGGAAGGAAAGTTGGTAGGGTAGGTAGTAGTTAATGATGAACGATACATGACAATCTTCTTCTGGATTCCCGCTTGTTTTGGTTCTTGTGTTTTGTGTTTTTTGGGGAGGGGAGTGGATGGCATTTGTTGACTCTTGATTGAGTAGCTGAGGATTGAATCTCATAATGAGCCAGGTGGGTTGATTTCAGTCGCATGGATACACTGTGAAGATGTACAGTTCCTACTGAGTAAGATAGTATTGGGTGGAGATTGGGTAAAGATGCCCAATTGCAGTGCCCTGGTCGATTTTCCGGAAATGGTTGGTGCACTGCCTCAGGAATCAACTATGGCTACTACTATAAGGTAACTAAGGGGCCGAAATTGAAGGCACCCGGTTTTAGAATCCAAATATCACCCACGAATCGTCTTCCATTCTACGCCGTAACATACAACTGCAGAGACACAGAATCGAAGATGGAAAGAAAAGAAAGAAGAATCTCGTTCATGAAAAACATAGATAAGAAGTTCTTAACCCCTCAGATGGATATTACTTCGTGCGCTCGACAGCACCCACGCCTTCCAGAATAACCACTGGTCCTGACGTACGCTGACGCCCGTATCGCCCAGATCTTCGGGAGTGTAGGTGCGCAATTGCTCCAGGGTCGCGCGGTCGAAGGAGCGGCGCGTGCTGCCGCGCGGCGCGAACGACAGGGAATCCACGTTCAAAACGGCGTCGCGCGAGGGGGAATAGGGCGTGGGCTGCACGACAATGGCGAGTGTCGTCGGCGTGTGGGAGCCACCGGCACCGTTGCCGTTGCCGTTGGTTGCGGTGGGTGCATGGTTGTGATTGTGGTGGCCATTGGCGTCGAAGTGGTTCGTGTAGTCGATCTCCCGGAGATCGAGGCGCTCGAGGTGGTCCATCTCGTCGTGGAGCAGCACGAGGATGTCGCGCCAGCGTCCGCCCGGGCGGAGGTAGATACCGGAGAGCCGAAGATCTCGCAACGGTCGCCGATGGCGGCGGATGAGAGCCATCAGCTCGTCTGAGCCCAGGCGCCAGCCTTGGATGCTCAGCGTGCGGAGTCGCTTCCATTGCAGACGATGGAAGATGTGTTCGAGCGGCAGGGCGATCGGTGCATGAGCCGGAAAGCCTAGGTGGATCGCGGTGAGGTTTTTGGCGGCCAGGAAAAAATCATAGAAGACATTGGATAAGGTGTCCATGCGCGTGGACAGATCCAAAGTAGAAGAAAAGGTGATGTCTAGGCTCGTCAATCGAGCCCCCAGTGCGGCGAGACTGGTTGATGGGGCTTGTAACAGTTTCGCAGTCGCCTCTGGGCTGATCTGTGGGCCGACGAATCGAACAGCGTCACAATTTGAATCCAAGAGGGCGATGCTCAAATTGGTGACGGCTCTGGTGCACGCTGGCTCCCAGTTCAGTCGCGTTGTTCCTCCCAATGAGTGTTCGTGAATCCAATCCAGAATTTGCTCATCCGCCTCATCCTGCAGTCGCAGCAACTTGACCTGCTGCAGGGATGTGAATGCTCCGATCGCGCGGCGCAGATATAACAAATCGTGACTCGCCTCGACGATACGTTTCTGCTCGTGAAGGCGACGTCGGTGGGTCGACGAGAGAGGAAAATTGTCAGTATCAACCGTCTCTAGAACGTCGGGCCAACCTAGACGGTTATCAGCTTTTCCTGGCACTCAAAGATGACGGGTCTTCGGAGACGGTACCGCTTCCTTGGTAGAAGGGTCGCACCATGTACGTGAAATTTCGAACATGGCAGGCTAGCTGCATGCTCAAAAGTTCCTCTAGCCTCCGGAATCCATCCGACGAGAACCGCAGCACAAAGCGAGGGAATTTCTGCGGTGTGCCGATGCGCATGAACCTTCGGCAGACGAGTCGGAACCGGTCCAACTCAGACTTCTCACCGTATACATGGGGGGATTGGGCATTCAGTGGAGTCGAGGAACCATGCGAAGTCGTGGGGGAGGCTTCGAGGGAGGAATATTCGAAGCCCAGAAGAAACGAAAGGATGTCCTGAATGAGCTCGTCCGCCAAGTCGTCAAAATGCCGCGGTTGGTCCATGTTTGTCGCACAGCGAAGCAGCAGCGTGTTCGGCTGCCTGGGCCACTCGCACCAACATGGAATCCCAAGTCAGGTCTGGAGTGTAGGTCGCAAATCAAGGGGCACTGACTTGTCGGATATGCAACGAAATTAAGGAGATGTAAAGGGGGGCGATGTTCGTTTTAAAAGAGCAAAGAAAACGTCGCAGATAAAATAAGCAAAAAGAACGAGGAAGACGGATGACAGCAGCGAAAATTAAATGTTTGGGAGAGAAAAAGAAATAAGGATGAAAAATCCTTGAAGAAGAAAAAAACAAGAGAGTGACGAAAAGGAAGGACGAAAGTGATACATCCCCTCTTCTAGTTGGAGGCACACAGACACAGACAAACAATCTTCTTCTCTGTCATCTGCAAAAGATGATGGCGGGCCACAGCCAGCGCGCGTGCAGCAGCAGCAGCAGGTTGAACGTGTCTGACCAGAAATTGACAGCGTCCCACCGCAAGCTCATTTCCTCCAGCGCACAGGGTGGTCATTATCGCATTCAGGGCCTGCAGAAGCCCCGGGCGGGATCAGACGACTCGATGATGGCCGACCGGGGGGGACGTATACCAGAGTCACATGATCAAACGAGTATGCGGTTATCCAGCGCGAACCTGCAGGAAAGCTGGTCGAGGAGGAGAAGGATTGGCAGAGAAGGGACGACGGAAGGGAGTATAATGATGCGACAGCAAGAGTCAAATACGTGCAGACGCCCAGCTGCAAGGGAACCCCGCTTGGAGGTAATGGCAATTCATGGCGGCCTGTCGTTGCAAGCCTTCATCGTCCCTGCGGCTTGACCACGTCGCGGAAGATTATAGATAGACCAGGGGGGAGGGGGGTTTGATGTGGTGGAGAAAGGGGGAATGAGATATGGATGGTTGAGGGTTGCTTGTTCATGATGCACAGGTGAAGAAAAGTAGTGGATCTCGAGGTTGAGAGATTGGCCAACAGTGGCATTGCCCGTTCGGGTCGACTCTTTGCAGTAGCTTCATCGCGTGGGTTGTCAACCTAGTCGACTCTTTGCAGTAGTTGGTGAAGAAGGAAGAGGGGAAAAAAAGGATCACCGGCACTTAAGCAGCACTTAAAACGCCGTAGTCCAGTAGTCCCCGAGCCCAGGCGCAAGCCCAAACACTGCAATGATCCGCTGGTTGGTTGTCGCTGTCTCGTTTCCTTCGGTCTGTGTTGGCGTCGCCGGCCAGGTAAGTCGGGGAAAACAAAGGAATAAAAAGAGATTAGATCAGAGAGAGGAGAAAGCGCACAGGGTCAAACAACGCTATATACAGTACATGGAGTCGGGACGGTCTAGAAATTACACCACCAAGGAGAAAAGTTAAGGGCCCTTCCACGCCCACTTATCCTCCATCATCTATCTGAATCGGTCGAGTTGCCGGTCTGGACTAGATAGATAGTTGGAGATACATCAGATCTCGTGCTGTCCAATCGTCTCCTCTGTGAAGGCCATCTAGACCTCATCATCGTTGTTGTCGAACAGACCTTTGCTTGTACGATTGGCTCAGATCACCACTAATTTCCCGCATCGAGATCGCGCATCTCGGGAACTTTCGCGCCAATCAATCATTGCAAAGCCTTCTCCATCCGCCGCCGCCTGATATCCGTGCTGCTTATCTTGGATGCAAAGTCCTCCGCGTCATCGGGAGGCACCTCCGTTGTATGCAGGACATCGACCTCGAAAACAGCCAACGGTGCCCATCCTTTCTTCGTCCGTGCATCATTGACTGCAGCGCCGCCCGACCGAGTCTCCTTAGAGACCACAAGGGCGCCAATGCTCTCATCAGTGATGGTAGGACCAAATGGATCCTTGATCTCCACCAATTTGAAAACTAGATCGGGCCGTAACTTCATGAGGATGTACTTCCCATCAGAACCCGGCTCCGGGGCCTCTTCAAGCTGAGATCCACTGGGTCCGGAAGCACGGAAATTCATGATGGCAGTCAAGAAGGCACCCGTGCTATGGCTGCGTTCTTCCCAGCTTTCCAAGAATTCGGGATACTTTTTCTTTACCAACAACTCATCGCCGGTCACTCCCACGACGAGGACTCGTTCCCTCCCCGCATCAGCATCCTCCACGGGCTGTAGGACAAGTGCTGTTGCGGTCAGTAATAGTTTGTGTCCAATGTGGAAGTGGTCGAACGTGCCCCCCACAGCGACTGTGTAGGGCGACGTGGCTTCGTGGAGATCGCCTAGGGTCACAAGATATTCTGATGGAGTCCAGTGAGGTGCGTCTGGGATGGCATGTAATGAACCAGAGTCGGGAAGTTTAGAATCCGCCACCGGAGAATAGAAGCTACTGAAGGCTGCGGCCAGATCCTGTCCTATCTGATTATCAGGGTAGTAAATTGACTTCCATGGTCGTCCTGACCTAGCCAGAGTCCGCAGGTCGACGATCGGGCCATCGCGCGGAACTGCTGGAATGCTTTCCGGGCTTCGAGACAGATCATAGTCGAGGAGTATGACCCGTGCATCGATACCTCCAGGCATATCCAACTCGATCTTGTGTTCAATACATACAATCCCAATCAACCGGTATATGCCTTCAAGAATCGACTGCAGGCTTGCAAACGCTCTAGTGCGGGGTCGGCAGGAAGGGGCGAGCAAGCCTGGTAGGGATAGTGCAACATCGAGAGGAGCCACGCGGTCGGACCCGTCCAGCTTGAGATGAAGGCTAGAGCAGACAGTTGACAGAGTAGCCTCGTATGCAGACTTAAGTTGGTCAAAGTCGGCCGCTGGCGGAGGTGGCAGCAGCAGCAGGGCCGAGGTCGGTTCGGAAGCCATGTTGTACTGATATGCGGGGGAATGACTGTCAGTATTGGTTGTCTGTAGCAATTGCGATTATGGATAGAATAGCTGGAGAGTAGCAGGTAAATCAGAAGCCAAACTGACAGCAGACCCAAAACCACAGACGACCCGATGGCAGTCGGACGTTTCTGCTGAGTCGAAAAGGGAGTAAGTAGTATTCAGCTGCCAGGTGAAGTACTCAGTAGTATTCCGGCAAGAAATGACAATAAACGATGGCCGAAGATGGTTTTCCCCGCGATTGAGCTGACTCAGCCTGCAAGAGACTCTCCCGTGACTTCCCTGTAGTCTCTCTATCTCCCTCTCTCTCCCCATCTCCCTCCCTTCTTCCCCCGTCACTTCAACTGCTCTTATTCATTCGTTTCAGGCCTGTTCGGTCTATTCAGGCACTTCTTCTGAGTCTCTTCAAGCTTCAGAATGTCTTTGTGAATTTGTTCACGTTGTTGTCCCTTTCTGACATGACCTAGAGCGTGCACTGTCTCTGGTACAGTCGGAGCTCCTAGCGCCCTCCATTCCCCCCCCCCCCCCCCAACCCCCCCAAGCTAATCCTCGCACCCTGATAACCGCTATTCACAACCATTCACACCTGACATTCTGCTGAGGTGGGGCTTCAATTGAACTTATTTGCGTGGCTAGGGTATAATACGGTTCAAAGTATTCGAATCCCACGCTGTCATGTCGAATGCGAGCCAACCCTTCGACCCTCGCCGGGCCACAACGTACGGGCGCCCGGAGGAGCTGCATATCCCGTCCGGTGCTCCCAACTTGCAGCGACAGTCCATGTCCCACGAGTTCATCTCGGGCGCTGAGAACCACGTTCCTTCAATCAATGTGCATCCGTCCGGCTCACAGCCTGGCCAATTTGGAGGCGGCAACAGCGCTGCTGGTGGTCATCTACCGGGAGCACTGCAGCCAGGCAACTCCAACCGTCCACCGGCAGTATCCATGAACACAGCCCCTTCGGTTCTTCCAACCCTCCCTCAGTTGTCGACCCCCATGCAGCCTCCCGCAGCACCGTCATCACAGCCGCAACAACCACAGCAACCGCAACAGCCGCAGTCCGCGGTGCAACAGTCAACAAACCCGCGCTCTAGCATGGTCAATTCTCACGGACATTCAAGATCCAGCCCGGCAGGCTTTGATCAGCCAAAATACAAACAGCCGGGCTCGTCGCCGGGTGCTGGCTACCCGCCGCAGACTCCGTTGGGAGCCAAATACTCCCCCTTGGGCCTTGCTGATATCCGGCCAACCGGTGACTTGTTGAGCGACACGATGATGACCTCGGGAATGATGTCAATCAACAATAGCGAGAATCAGGTGCCTACCAACAGTAACTATATCGCCCCGTGGCCCATATACGCAGTGGACTGGTGCAAATGGCCGGTGCCCGGCAATTCTGGCTCCTTTGGCGGAAAGATTGCCATGGGAAGTTACTTGGAAGATAACCACAACTATGTATGATGTTGCTTTGCCTTCAAGATAAGCTATGGCGCTAATTTGAGCGCAGATTCAAATTGTTGATACACACTGGACCGCTCCCGACCCGGATACACCAGATGCGGCGGCTGGAGACATCAAGCTGGAGTATGTCAAAACTGCGGAAGCCACCCATTCATATCCTGTAACTCGGATTCTTTGGGAGCCGCCTTCTTCACAGAAACAATCCACAGACTTACTGGCAACGTCTGGCGATCATCTCCGGTTATGGTCGCTGCCTGCTTCGCAACCAGCGCCGGCTTCGAACACGATCACACGGTCGAACAACCAAAGCGCACCGACCGCGAAGCTGCAACCCTTGGCTTTGCTGTCGAACTCAAAGTCTCCGGAGCATACCGCGCCAATCACATCCCTGGACTGGAACACCATTTCACCAAGCCTCATAATCACATCCAGCATCGATACCACGTGCACAATTTGGGACATTCCCACACTTACCGCCAAAACGCAGCTGATCGCACACGATAAGGAGGTGTACGACGTACGGTTCTGCGCCAACAGCGTCGATGTCTTCGTCAGCTGCGGTGCTGATGGTAGCGTTCGCATGTTCGACCTTCGCAGTTTGGAGCACAGTACCATCATCTATGAGCCCACCGAAAAGAATGAGAAATGTAAGACATCCCTATCAAACCCACAGTCACGAAGATCGCCTTATTCACAAGGATTTTTCTCAGTGATGAGTCCCGGGAATGGCAGTCCTTCCGCGCCTGCACAGTCTGCATGGCCACCACCTCTACTACGCATTGCAGGTATGTGAGCTTATAGATGTATCACGTTTGACATACGTACTCACTACTGCAGCCTCTCCCCATGACTCGCACCTCTTGGCAACGTTTTCACAAGACTCGAACATCGTAAGAGTTCTTGATGTGCGCCAGCCGGGACAAGCTCTGCTGGAGCTGAAGGGACACGCCTCCTCCATCAACTCCGTGGAATGGTCCCCGAATCGTCGCGGCGTGCTCGCCTCGGGCGCAGATGACTGCTTCGTCCTGCTTTGGGACTTGATCAACCAACACAACGCAGCCCCGGTGCCGCCGGGCGCACACCCACCGGGAGCCCCAACAGCGACGCCAACGAGCGAGCGTGGCCCGGCAGCTGCCTGGCAGTGTGACTACGAGGTATCTAACATCAGCTGGTCGCCGCAGGGCGGGACCACGCCAGCCGGGCATCCACGCGACTGGCTCGGGGTTTGTGGCGGGCGAGGCCTCTGGGGAGTCGCTCTGTGAATAGCTTCATACATCGGCTAGACTTTTGACAGATTGTCATTTGCATGTTATTTGTTTGTCTTTTCTGTTTTCAGACTATGACTTACCCCCTTGATGTTATGATTTTGGTACTGCTCTCATTTGGGATGGGCTCCGGGACATGATTGAGATGACGTCCCGTGGCAAGGGAAGCCCCATATAGCGCGCGGAGACTTTTACCCGCGTAGGCGACCTTTGGTATATGGCATGGTACGAGTAAATGAATTAACGAACAACCCTATTTTTTGTTCTTTTTAGATGTATCGAGATCTAGTTGACGCCATAACTGCTGGACATACTCGTTCTGGACAGAATAAATTTACATTCTCCACATTGATGTGCGTTCCCACATGCACTTTACATTTGAAACAGGTGGAAGACCAAAATATAATTGAGACCATGAAATATGTACAGCCAAACCCGTGACTGATCCAGTAAGTTTAACATGAAGTGACGCCCGCTAACCTGAAATCCCAGCAGGGAACACATTTGCAACTAGATGATAGTAAACGAGCAGCCGCTGCAGCAGCAGCAGACATAGAAAGGAAGGGAATCAATCCCGTCGCTCGCCACTGCTCCCGGGCGCAGGCCTGGACACGGTTACAGGCCCCTTGACAATGACCTTCTCCTCCACCCACCTTGCAAACCTCACACTGGGGATATCAACCGCCCGCCAGAACAGGTCTCCTGCCCACAGGGCAATGGGCAAACAGATCATCCACCCTAGGAGGTACGCAACTCCGGCCTGGAAGTTCGTCGCCCGGCCGGTGATGGCCCACAGCCGAGGCATGATGGCGTATCCCAGCCCGTGAAGGATGGGGCCGTGCACGATATAGAAGGCGAAGGAGATCTGGCCGAGGTACTGGGAGAGGCGGTTGGTGAAGAGACGTTGGATCTCCGGGGAGTGGTTGATGCTGGCAACGATGAGGATGGCGCCAATGGTTTGCGGGAAGCGGTGCGGTTCAGGGTAGGTTTTGGGAGTGATCTTCCATGTCCACATGTAGAACGGGGTCCATTTGTAGCCGGTATTCGGGGTAGAGCCCAGGTAGAGGCCGATGATGAAGAGGGCAAACCAGATATTGCGATAAGGGATCCGGCGGGTGGAGAGGCGGGAGAGAACAGGGTAGTGGTAGGAACGGGATTTGGCAGGGAGAAAGCGGCGGAGTTGAGGTTTGGGATCGTCATCAATGGTTGCGGTTGTGGTCGTGCTCGAGGATGTGCCGGCAGGGATGGGACCTTGTTCCCAGGTGCCGTGAATGAGGTCGGCCTCTGCGAGGAGCATGCCAGACAGGAAAAGCACGACATCCCAGCGGCCAAACCGCATGCAGAACCAAATGAGACCGCTGACGAGACTGATACGGACGGGAGTCCCGAGGCGCGAGGTGCCCAAGATGGTGAGGAAAAGGACGATGGAGCTGCGGAATTCGACAGGAATAGTCCACAGGTGCGGGTTGTAATTGTTGTAGTAGAGAGACCAGTTGAAGGGGTCCATTAGTTGTGCGAGTGTCGAGTAGCCATCCCAGAACTGCTTGGTGAAGGAGCGCATGATGGGTGGATGCTGCTCATTAGTGCCCAGGATCGTGTGACCCTCAACCAGGACGCGCCGGGACGGGTGGAAGGCTCCCAAGCGCACGGCTAGAAAGACAAGAGTGATCCCCACAAATGACGGGATATAAAGGCGCAAGGCTCGTCGAAATGTAGCCGAGGCGAGGGTGGTGAAGGTCTGTTCCCAGGCGCGACTGCGAATCAGCTTGAGCGGCTTGTAGGAGAGGACGTAGCCAGAGATAACGAAGAAGATGGCCACCATGATATGGCCTGAGACGAGCATGTGCAGTATCGGCAACTGCCAGAGCGCAAAATTCTCCCCATTGAACCCCCATCCCAATGCGACTTTCCAAGTGTAAGTGAAGAGGAAGTGGAAATTGAACACGAGCAGACAGGCCCAGCCGCGCAGTCCATCCAGGGCCGCGATGGCGTGCGGCTTAGTAGCCGGTCGGGGCGTTCCTCCCACGTATTGTTGTAGGTAACTTGGGGTGACTATTATGGCCACTTTGGTGCAGAAAGCTTCCGCCATGTCCGTAAACTGACCGAGGTATTCCTGAAGGCTATCATTGTAGTTGCTGCTACTGAAGCTGCTGCTCATCGACGAGTAACGATGATCGGCTGCTCTAGAGGATGATTCAAGATCGTGAAGAGGGACATCGTGGACGGGGAGAGGCGAGGCGAGGCCCTTGTCGATCAACGACATGATGGGTTGTATTGTAGTGTGGGAAATCGACTCGCTATGGGTGGATAAGGGAAAAATTATTGAGCAATGGCGATGCGTTCGTTACGGCGGGGGTTAAGAGAAGAGGGAGATGACGCGCGGCTTCATGGGAGGAGGAACGGAGGACGATGCAGCAAGAGGAACATGCTAGAGGGATGTCGCACAGTCGTTAGTATCGAGT